CAATAATTTGATATACATATTGTGTAGTTTACCTCTTACATCAAAATACATTAATATTTTACATTCAAAATTATATTCATAGTATTTTAACAAATAACAAATAAGTTCAACACAACTGGTCATTTTATTATTTTGTCTGCAACCTGTATGTCTAGATTACTCCTCAATGATATCATCATTTAAAGCATTTTCTACTGTACACACAAATATGGCTTCTTTCTGACTTTCACATTTATTGGTTCACATAGAAACAAGTCTGACCACTTGGCAGCCATCTTGGTCATGTCTATTGGTAGAAATTTTGGAGTTATGTTTAAGGCCCTGCTTAAATAAACTGTTTTTTCAGTGGTCTCCTGCCGTTATTATATAAAGAAACCTGTAGATTTCAGGACTAGTTGAGTTCCACGCTTCTCTTTTGTAGTGCAAGTTGAGAATGCAGGTTCTCAGAATACACCGATGTCATCATTTAAAAGTATGCTATAACCAGCTATCCTTCATTCTAAAATGCTGCTGCGAGAGTACTAGACAGGGACTAGAATGAACACATATATATACTTTTTATTTGCTCCCTGTTAAATCCAGAATCTAATTTACAATCCTCCCCCTGACATGCAAGATCTTAAATAGTCAGGCTGATCTTAAAGACCTCACAGGATCATATCATCCAAATCGAGCACTTCACTGACAGACTGCAGGCTTACTTGTGGTTCCTAGGATAATCAGAATTAGATTGGGAGGTTTATATTGTTAACTGGTAATTATGTAACAATGTGCTTTTTGGAGTAACAACAAAGTAATGTAACCACATGTACTGCAGTTCTTTTTTTGCAATGTATACTGTAGTAGTGACCTGTATTGAGAACTTTATAAACCGATGGGTGTGTACATTCATGGAACATATTTTATAGCTTGATCAGCATAAGCCTCCCCTCTTAAAAAAGTTTAGTGTTCATGTGGGGTGTGTGATTTGCTGAGTTATGGGTTAAGTTTTCAAAACAGACAGCGGTCTGACAGCTTCAGCAGAGGAGTGCACTTTTTTTCTGCAACTCTTCCACTTAAGACTATTTTAGATATTTTGCTGATGCATCTGTGCAGACTGGATGTTGATGACAGCTGATGGATGCACTGGCTCAGAACAAGCAAGTCTCTCTTAATGTGTCCCCCATAACATGTCATAAAATGTGTTTGTTTGTTTTTAACAAGAAAAACTGGTCTCATATTTCATTCTCACTTCTTCGTCTTCTGCCTCAACAACAGCAGCTCCGTTGCTGAGCGCCGCGTCACTCAGGGTACTGCGGAGCGTCACCCGGGTGACACTGAGCGAATGTTTTCTGGGAGTGATGGGATGTGGCCGATGGCACATGACCTCCTTGAACATTTCTCTAAAGCGTGTTGACATGAGGTTGTACAAGATCGGGTTGACTGCTGAGCTGAGATAGAAAAACACTCCGGAGGTGATGTGCACATACTGGAAGATTTCCAAGTGGGTGTCAGTCCAGTCACTGATGAAACTCCACATTAGCCGGTCAGTGTGAAATGGAGCCCAGCAGATTCCAAAAACCACAACCAAGACAACTGAAAAACAGCACGAGAGAGACAAGAACACAATGAGAGGGGATGTTTCAACATTAGTGTTTTCCTCATGCTTAACCGATGCAATATATGAGTATTTAAACCTTGATTTAGGTACCTGTGTTCATTTTTAGCCCTTTCCCAGCCAAATAACAGTCATCACTTCAAAGAACATCTCATACAAAAGACAACAAGACAACAAGAATTTTTCAAAATGCCAGACCACATTTTCCTCATCTCTAATTGTTGTTTGAACTTTAATTGTGCATTCTAATTAGTTGAGACATTATTCTGTCTGGCAGACTTGTCGACTGGATTATTGTGGCTGAAAATTACAACTAATAAAAAATGAAATGAAAAAAAA